GCCACAACAATATTTCCCACTGCTTTACCTTTGGCTCAGAATTCACAGAGAAACCAGGAACAGCAACTGGAATTTCATGCCCATTTTCATGCAGAGCTGAGGCTGAGAAAATCCATGGAAGTAGCATTTTGGTTAACTTCAGCACTCAAAAATATTGAACAGCAGAGCAGGAATTGTACCAGCTCATCATAAGAAACAAATCTTTTCTATTCACAGCTACACAAGATCCGTATCATTTCCAACAGCAAATGACTCACAACTTAGGAAATAAAGTGACTGGATCAATACTGCTCCTGATAAACCCATAAGAAGTGACCCCCACTTTTGTCTGATAAGATTACAGGGCAGCTGTGGAGGCGCCTGCTGTCCCAGCCCAGCTCTGAGCAGGTGACGCTCGATGAAGGTGAAAGGTGCAGCTACAGCATTTCAGTTTGAACCCTGAGCTGCTCCTCACACGCCACAACACCTGGCACAACTGCTGTCAGGATTTCGTACCGGCAGGTAATGGGGAAGGTGTCAGGGGGAACCAGAGGAGGAACCTGCTGCAAGCAGGCTCTGCTAACCCACAGCAACGCTGCCTGCAGATCTGCTCTATCTGACATGGGATATTCCTTCATCTCCAAACCAGCACACCAAATCCCAACACATTTACCGCACATTTCCCCCAAAAAAACCCATCATAAACTGCCTTACTACATGTATTCTCACAATCTTCAACCAGGACCTCCTAGATTTATTCCTTAAAGCTCTCAGAAAAGGAATCTTGAGCCACACCTGGAAAGTATGAACATTAATACCTTAGTTACAAGCTCACAGCTGAATTTAGAAGCTGCATATGCTATTGCTGGTGTTGATTGATCTATGCGATGGTTTCTCCCTGTGCTGCTTCCAAAGAAAATCAGTGCAGGTAACAAGGAAGCCCTCTCTAACAAAGAAAGATGAGGATTCCTAGGCAGGGGTAATCTCCCTACAAATGTTCCAACAATTTGCAAGTTGAAGCTACAGCTGTTCGTTAAAATCAAAGTAAAAATAAAGAAAATAGCACTACAGGGCGGAAATCTCATGCTTGAGATTGAATTCAGAAAATCATCTATAAGACACTCGGATTCAGGTTCAAAGGAGCTGCATTATTCTTGCCCATTCCAAGCTCAAATAAATACACTTCTCTGTAGAGGTGTGAGAAGCCAATTGTACACATTTGGATTCATCCCACCTAATTCCAGCCGTTCGGCATTGGTGAGGGCAGATGATGCCATAATGAAATCTTCCAGAGCATCTCCACTCACGTCCCTCCTCGGACTTACACACAAGACCCAGGCTGGTAATTTTCAGCCAGCTGAAATTAGGGCAGGATGAATCAGGCCAAGCATGGAGCGAAACAAGTCTGATGTGGTGGCACAGTATCACCATGACAATGCAGTCTGTCACAGCCCTGTCTGAGGCTCCCAGCCAGACACGCTTTGGGGCAGTGCCCCACACCCCTGTGCCCTGGGAGCTCAGTCTGACAAGGAGCTCATCACACGTTACACAGTGAGGCTTGAGTTCATGACGATCCCCCAGAGCAAGACCGGAGCCACCTGGGACGGAGCAGCTCCGGTGCACGGGGACTGCAGCCCTCCCAGCACCCAGGGGCTGCCCTGGAGTTACAGACGGGTCTGGAGGGGCTTGCAGCCGGAGTGGGTACTCATCCTAACACAACACGCACACATGTCCACGAATCCGTGGTGCTGTGGGAGTTCTGCATCCCCACGCCGTGGCTACGGCATGGGCTGGCTCTTTGCAGGAGCTGTCGGTAATGAGGATGAAGCACACACTGAGGAGAAATACAGCGTTCTGAAACACACATTTGTGAGATCCCCAATAGTATCAATAGTAACGATTAAGGTCAGAGGCAGTATCAAGTTTTGCATGCACTTTCTACATGAGTATTTATATAGACAAGTTTCATTCTTGCTGGTTTGCAAAATTACTGAGGTTTCCTTTACTTCCAGAGACTGGAACATTGAACATTAGTTTCATTTATGATGTTGAAAGTCATTCTTTGTCTAAAATACACCTACAAATACTTGGGATTATGGGACAGGGATTGCCCTGTTGTTCTCTGTAAAGGGCTGAAGTAACTGTAGAAATATTTTTTTTTATCTTAGAAATACAGGGAATTTATCTACAAATCAGACTGTAAGCATGAGGAACACTTATTGCAAGTTCTCAGTCTTACATGAAAGGGTGAAGGTGCAAAGTCATTAAGACTGCCTTGATTCTAAAGATTAGCCTACTCATTTAATTAAACTATCAATAGAAACACAGAATTTAAAGTAATCCAAGTAAGAATCCCCTTCAACTTTCCAAGCTTCTTCACTTTTCCCATCACTGCCTTTCAGACTAGACAGGACTTGAAATTCTGATGTCAGAAACCAGCAGAGAACACACAGACATTTTCAGGCCTTTGTTGTATATCAGAAAATACTGTAAAAAAGAATGCAGAGTCCCAGAATTCAGGTTATTTTTCTCTCTCGGTAACCAGGCAGAGAGTTCAAATCTCCTTAAACACCACCTCAGGTAAAGCCTGCGGTGGGTGGAGATGGGGACAAAATGCAGAAGCAGCTCTGTGCCTTCCACATGCCCCTAGAGATGGGCTTCTGTCCTGGCACTGCTGCAGTTTGTGGGGAATAAAAAGGACACCAGGTCACACATCTTTGTATGGCAGCACCTGCCCAGGTGCTGTGCCTGGGGCACCCCTTTGCCAGGGGACACTGCACAGGTGTGGCACCGCTCAGGTGTGCAGGTACCTGGGACACCACCAGACCTGCAGCTGCCTGCTCCTATCCAACCCCGAGCTCTCACAAAGGGATATGAACTGGGTTGAATTCTCTTACATTACATTTAATGTTTCTGTAAATGGCTTATAGATCTGCTGTTTGGAATAAATTCTGAAACCACTAAGCGTGCTTAACAGACCTTCAACTCTATGTGGACAGTGAGTTCAGAGGACAGAACAAGGACTGTTGCAGTATATAATACACATGGCTGTACAGTCAAATGCCACCTCTTGCTCCAAAACAAGAATTTACAGTAGCAAGCAGTGGTGGCAAGATTTCTTACACAAAACCTACAGAAATTTACAGGATATGCATGGATCACCGAGGTTATAACACCAGCAATAGACAACACAGAGTATCTTGTGCAATGTGAACAAAGTTGACAGTAGTTTACCAATGCTGCAAGTAATTCACATAAATATGCTAACCCACCAGCTAACAAATCCTCCTCTTCCCACCAGAACCAGATGTGTGTACAGCAATCCATAAAAACAAAAGTGGTTTGTTTCTGTACTTTTAGCCAAACATACACAGAGTAGATGCACTCCAAGGGGATACTAGCAAAAAAAAAACCAAACAAAACCTCAAAACTGGTGTCCAAGCACACACAGCAATTGGATTCACACTTCTCAAACAGCCATGACAGAGCCAAAGTTTATTGTATGGATGCTTTTTGTCCTGGAAAAATAGTAATATAAAAATTCACTTGATTTATAACTGACAGAAAGCTCCAGCTTTACTCACACCACTCTTCTGTGCCTCTAATTCTAGCCCTAATTCATTCCAGCCCTGCTTTAGGAACTTGTGCTCTCTTCCTTGTCCATTAATGTAAATGCAAATAAAATCAAAACTACAACATAATCAGAAAAAAAAATACTAGAAAAATGAAATTGAAAATAGCTTATACCTGCTTTTGGATTTTATGTTTATTGACAACAATTCTGTAACACCACTTTGCTTTCCCACTAAACCACTGGATGTGCTCAGTGCCTCTGCTACAGAGAGCTTAGTAAATTTCTACCTCAATTAAATACATCCTGTATTTGGGATTTTATTTTCATCCAATCTGCAAGACAAAAACGAGCCTGTCTTCCAAGCTATTTTCTGTAATTGTTAGGAACCATCTCGGCTGATTTGTGAGCATGTGGGATGCTGACTGTCCAGATCCTGAGCAGTGAGAGCTCTCAGGATGCTGCACTGCTGCTCCTGATCTGGTGTTACACTCAATTTCTCACTAATGAAATAAACTCTCTACAGCAGGGCTCTAGGTACAGTTATGAACAACTTCCTGCATGTTTGTTGGGCAAAATGCTCTTATTTTTGTGCAAAGATCTGGCACAGTACATTTACTGGGGAAGTCCAAGTGAGAGAGGGTAACACATGAAGATTAAAACAACAGAAGTGAAGCCTAAAATATCCAGTTCATCCAGTGGACAATTTGACTCCTCAGGGATCAGAGCAGCTGTTCCACAACAATACTTTTTCCATCAAAAGCAATTACTGATGATTTCAGTATCTCTGTATTAGCCCAAATTCCTAGACTGCAGAGTCTATTTCCTAGTTCACCACTCTATTGTGAACACACCACCTTTCAAAATCCCCATGTTTTGTGCTGTTTCCCTATGAAAACTGATGCTAAAACTGCCAGAATTTTCTCTTAGCAAAATCCAGCCTCTTGTCTCAGCATTGTAAAATCTTGAAAGGATCCCCAGAACCTAACGGCAAGAAGAGTTGTGCAAGTTCTCAAGAGAACAGCGAGGTAGCGAACAAACACCTTGTTTCTGGTGGATGATTGCCCAGTCCTGAGCCCCTGACCCTGGGAAAAGCCTGCTCGACCACTCGGTCACTCTTCTGAGGCCACAGGACCCTGAATCATCCACGCAACACGCTGAAAACACTGGCCAGGCAATTGAACCACTGCTGGTGAATTAGGCTTTGCACAAGGTCACACCATTCACTTTCAGGGGTGTGGAAGGAACTTTCAGCATCAAGTCCAGCTGTATTATCTACAGCAACTAGGCAGCAAATCTCTTTTTGATCTGATTTCCCAAAAACCATATCTTTCAGCAAATATTTACAATGCTGAAGTAAAATAAAGGAAAAAAAGGTGATTTTCTTTTTTTCTCTTCATTTCTTTTACACACAAAACTGAAATAGTGGCTAGAAAGTGACCATTTCAAATTATAACCGAAAACTGCATTTATTAAATTTGAAAACATGTACCCAAGAAAACCTTTATACATTTTTATGGCAAGTTTTCCTATTACATGAGAGGCTCTCTTACACATTTTAAGCTTAAATGAAGAACAGCAACCAAACAGAAGTTTGGACTAAAACTGCAAAGCTGTTGGCTGTTTTGAGGGAAACTATGGCTGCACAACTGAAAACAAGATGAAAGAACAAATTCACAGAAATAGTTCGTGTAATAGTGAACAAAGCTCTAGTAAAGTAAGAAACAGAAGAAAGCCAAATCTGCTCTGCATGTCAGTACTATTGATACATAAACATGCTTCTGCACCGGTAAAATCTGTAAAATAATGTCTGCTTAGGAAAGACTTAATTTGAGCTCTAGACTGTCCATGTTCAAGCATGGGTTTAGATTATTAAAGTCCTACTTTTTTAATTTCCTGAAGGATACTACCTGTTCTCAGATCTGTTTAAAATTAACTATGTGCAGGCTCAAATTCAAAACAAGGTGAAGCGGTTGGCAGGATCAGAATTTTCATGTGCTGAGTAGATGATCCATTTATTTTTTCTAGATTTGGTATTGTAATTTGTTTCCAATATGTAGACACTATACAGGAGTTCACTCTAAGCAGTATTTTAAACTCTCTTTTCTCATTTTTCAGGTTGAAACATCAGTTTGGTAATTTCAACAGACCCTCTGGATTTTTCTCTATGTACTCAGTGTTTACATCTGCCAAATAATGTCACACCACAGGTAAATTATATATTTGACCCAGACTAGGGTGAAATCCTACCCAAAAAATGAAAGTTTCAGCACAAGCAGCAGTTTACAGAACTGTGCCAATATCTGAAAAGTAGAGAGAGCTGCATACAGCAAAATTTAAACCTAACTAATTTATTTCTGAATTTCCAGAGTTGTTTTGAACCACTAAATCATGAATTGGATCCTCAGTGTGAGATATGAGTGTTGAAGTAGTTTATAGGGGTTTATTTGAAAGATGTGCTTTGTAAGGATTCCCCGTCCTTAAGGCCTGAGCAAACCTAAGTGTGTCTCTGACAGCACCCACAATTATATCACCACTTATGGTGAATTAAAGAAAAATAAATTTACCTGCACTTTTTACATCATTAAGGTATATTTTACATTCTTGAAATGCAAATGTGTAGGGTCAAATATGAAGAATCCAGTCCATTCTCAGCCATGACATTAACAACAGTGGAGCAGAGCTCACTTGGAACAGAGGAAAACACTTAATTATTAACTTATGCAGAAACTGGACCCTGTGTAACATGCATCAGCTGAAAAGTCATTCTGAATAAAGTGATCAACACTAAATATTGTAACAGCTGGTCCCTCATTAAATCTAATTCCAAATCATTTGCATATGCAGTATTGCCACAGAACAGAGGAAAATTCAATTGGTTTTAGGCAGTTCAAGAAGCTGTCCTTTGATGGATCCTTAAAAGAAGCAAGCTTCTATTCACTTCTTCCCAAGTGGAATTATTTAAAGTAAATGATTAGCCTACGTATTTCTCATTGAGTATTCCTGTTGGAAGGGAAAGGAACAGCTGGATGTCCTGGGACATGGAACATTTAATCCTACACTATGGGGAACAGGCTGGAAAAGCCTGAAAGTTGTTACTGTCTCTGAACATGTGGCCAAGGCTCTGCAACCAGAGGGTTTCCAAATAAAAAATGGAATTTCTGGGGGTTGGAAGTGCAAGTTCCAAACTGCAGTTTTTCCCCATTCTCAGGTAGTTAAGAACAGAATGTAATCCCTACAAGCAAATACCCAGGTATTTTGTTAATGCATGCAGGCCACATGCTTTACCTGTGATTCAGACAGTTTCTTCCTTGCCTCAAACCCTGTTCTTAGGTAATACAATCTGGGCGATGTGGAGATACATCTGGATCTAAGCATTCCTTTTCAGGTTTAAGCAGCAGGTAAGACCCTGGTTTCATTGTGAAGTTCACAAGTGAATCCAGTTTCAGCTGCTTTCTACAAAGCTGGAATATTTGCAAGAGTTCTCACAGCATAAGAGATCTCTTACTCTTAACTTCTGCTACTCTTAGATTTAATCACTTCTGTTTTTAAAAAGGTTTACTTCAACTTTGCCTGAAATACTCATTTACAGAATCACCTTCTATTTACTTCTCTACTAAAGAGCAAGATCTATCTAAAATCCCAGTGTGAGAAAGTTTATCCTGCACCACTTAAAATTCCTACCAGAGCTGGATAAGTTCTAACATTATCAACAGTGCTGTTGCACAAGGACAGAACCAAAGAGCAGTTACATTGCTCCTGGTATCTGGAGCATAAAAAAATCTAAGTGGGAGCAAAAACTGAGTGCTTGGGAATAGTCCTTCTTCCCATATTGATACCCCAGATACCACAAAAATCCCACAAGAATTTGTAAGCCAAGGAAAGAAAAATGAACAAGCAAAACGTCCTGTGCATATTAAGAAAAATATAATCCAAAGGTGTTATTTAGAATTTGAGTAATTAGCACACAAGATTGTTTTCTAATGGTTCAGCTGCAGAACCTGGGAGAGTGGGGAGCCTGGGTAAGCCTTGGACAAAGCATCAGTGACATCAGCTGCTGCCTGTGGGGCTGCGTGGGTGTGAGAAATGCAGGACACAGGGAATCAGTTATGTGCTGAAGGACGTTATGCTCCTGTATAAAAGTGAGGATAACGTGTTTTAATATTGTTTTCCAATCTGTGCCAGCAGTTCCAAGCACAGGTTTAAAGGCCAGGCTTCCATCCTTCCACGGTGCCCAACAGCTGACTGACCTGGGAATGGGCTTTGGCACTTGGTGCACTACTCCATCTAACTTAGTCCATCAGCAAAGACATCAACTGACTGAAACTGGGCCAGAAAGAGCCCTTGGGTCCCTGGAAGGCTGCCACAGATAACACAGGTGGCAAACACAGGCTGCAAGGACTCTGGGTGTAATGGGGACACACCAGTGGTGTTAGTGACAACAGCAAAGGGTCTGAAGAAATTACACCTGATTTTGTGTTTGTGGTTCAAGCCAATAGCAGGGACTTCCAGAATCTTTGGAGACAGCAACAATGTGTTTTCCAAAGAGAAGCAAATTAATATGATCTTCATAATCAATAAGAATACAGTCTACAAAACCATATAATTACTACCTAGGTCATGTTTATATCTAATCAAGTAGTTCTTATTAAAAGTAATGCTACCAAAAGCTTTGATACAATCCTCTGAGACTTTCATCCTTGAATAGCCCTAACAGGAGAGTAACATGTTAAATCTTTTTATTTCCATATATCATACACATATAATATATGGAAATAAAAATTAGTTAGGAGACTGTAGTATTCCTTACACATCTTGTTACGTTTCAGCTACCATCACAAGCCCATCACATATGGGTGATATTCCTTTACCACAAGTCCATGGAAGAGAATCCCCTTGCACCTGGATATACCACATCCCAGAGCTGCTCCTCCTCTGCAAGTGGCTTTTCTGGATTAAAGTCCAAGGAGAGGAATTTGCTGTTTGTCTGTGGCATGAATTTCTGCTGAGCCACTTTGTGCCTGCATTGCTGATCATCAGCCTTTGTACCACTACAAACTGAAAGCCTTTGTTTTCTTGGGGGAGCTTAAAATCATCAGAACTAAGTAAATACACTATAAGCTTGGTTTCAGAGCTCTGCCTGAAGAGAAATGGGAATGCTTCCAGAAGCGTTTCCTTTAGGCCTTTTTCTGCATTCTGGCCCCAGCTTTCCTACCTAACTCGATGTCCTCCTTGTAAAAGGGCCCAGACCTTTCTTCCTCTTCTGTTCATGGCAAAAGGTAACATCCTCACACAAGGCTAGTAGTCATAAAAAGTTTACTGTGGCGTTTTGGCTCGGAAAAAAAAAAAAAAAAAAAAAAAAGGCTGCTGACTGGAAAGTTTTTTGGGAATTAATTCTGCAGATATGGCAGAAAACACGCACCCAAGCAGCAGGGTGACCTGATTTTCTAAATGGGCTTGGGAAATACTGTTTTTAATTAGGAACACGGATTGCTCATATATGTTTGAGAATCACTGAAAATGGGAAACATAATTGTAAGTTGTTAGAAAATGTTTTGGTGATAAGGACTCTACTGTATTTCCACTAACTACCACCCCTACAGAAGACCATGCTACATAGAAAACTCAATTCCAAGGGCAGGAGAACCCTGACACTTTATTGCTAGATTCTATAGCAATTAGAGCTCACTTACAGTAACCTTATAGTACTCTATATAAACTGAGAAGCTTGTATCAAATTCAGGCTTCCATTTAAAATAGATATTGCAGATATTAGGCTTCAATTAAAGAAGAAAAATAACCTTCAGTGCTTCTTTTTTTCTCTTAAAGGCAAAGTATCAAAAAAAATCCCCAAACTAGGTGGAAGTTATTAAATTTCTCAAAAGAATTAAGATGAGCTTTCTTCTATTTCTTGAGACAGTACAATTTGTGATTCACAGGGTAGCTGGTATCAAACACAAGGTAATGAAAGCTCATATAAGCAATTTTATTCCTATCCATAATGGCAGACACTAACAAAATCAAAAGAATTTATCCTTTGAGTTCAACTTAAAAAATAACTTATAAAGCAGTGATATATGCAACATAAAACAGTTCAGTATGGGAGAGGGAAAGCAAATTTTAATAATTAAAATGTAAACGTGGAAAAAAAAAATAAATGGAATAAAAGTCCCTACTTCTGATTTCTACGTAAGATGTCGCGTGATCCTATTTTACAGTGTCCTGGGGTCTGTGTGTGTGTGTGTGTTTGTGTGCCACACACACACACCCCACGCTGACCCACACATGTACACACACAGACAGGCGCTGGCAGCTCCACCTCGGGCACTTCTCTCATGCCACTCCTTACAGTTGTCTCAAGCATGTTTGGGACCCACTTTCTTGACAAAACAAGGGAGATGGTAGGAGAGAAAAAAAAAAAAAAAAACAACCCAGGTGGGTCTGATTGTGTCTGGGATCCTTTAGTTAAACTGTACACTGGGACGAATAATTTTCTTCTGCAGTAGCTCTCTGGAGAGGGCCAACTCACTGTGGTCTTCATGGCGACACTTGTGAACGGGTCACACACTCATTGTCATGCTAGGGGAGTACTGGAAAAGAGGAATTCACATTTTAACAAACATTCTTCCTCCCCACCCCCCGCAGGTCAAGGAGCTCCCTCCTGAATTTGTGGGGGCTGCAGCTCAGTTGGTGTCCCCAGAACTTCTGCTGTGCTTCTGCCATGCCACACCACAGCCACTGCTGACAAAGGCATCGCCCCGAGGGCTGTTCTGGGTGCTGTGAGGAACCAACACCTCACTGAGGCTTTCCACACCCCTTCCTGCCCACTGCTGGCTACTGGGGAATTTATCTGGGCAGGTGCCTGGTCTGCAGTAGACTGTCTGCATTCATGGCTAGCTGAACCATACAAGATTTTGGGGAAGTTTTTGATTATTTTAGGGGAAGAAAGGAACAAAGGTATGTATGACTGTGATTCAGTTAGGTTTTTGGCTTGTAATATTTTGTGTTAGCAATTTTAGGGGGCAAGCTGAATCAGGGACCAGTGGTCATTCTCCTTTATGTGGAACAAAAATTCAATCACCACATCACACGATTGTAGTGACACAAACTGAACTGCAGCCTTTACCCAACTTCAGGGTAGCAGGGCTTCATTACAGTAATCAATGGGACACCACAGTGACTAGAAGAAATGCACATCTATACATCTAATTTGCTTTTAAACTCAACACTGTGGACTGCAAAAACATTTAATTTGATCTAACATCCTGTAAGTAGAGGAAAATGTTGAAATGCAAGAAGATCAGCAGTTTGAAAATTGACAGCAGAAAGATAAATTTGCCTGTGCAAAACCCTACATATCCTGCCAAGTCTTGAATTCCAAGCTGGCCATTTCCAAGTGTCCAAGCATATGGAAAGAGTATTTTAGATGGATCTTCCCTGTCATGAAGATTACAGAGGTCTGACTACCAGCTCTGAGGCTTAAAGCATAGCACCTGCTTAAGTAATTTGCTGTATCTGAGCCATGGTGTCTGGGGAATCACTTTGGGGAAGGAATCAAACATGGTCTCAAGTTGTTTAGGATTTTCAGCTTGTTATTAAGCTCTGCATTGCTACTTACCCCTAACCAAAATTCCTGGTGAACTGAAGAGCAAATGTCCCTGAGAACATGATAACAGCTATTCTGAGCAGCCAAGTGGCAAAGCATGGATCAGAAAGCAAAGCAGCTCCCCAGGATGAGAGAGCAGCCCATGTTCCAGAGCCTGCAGTCCCTGGAGCAGACAGGGATGCCCCTTGCAGGCACACATCTCAACAAAACCTTGAGAAATCTGAGTCCCTGGCCCTTCCAGGCAGCACAAAAACACCCAGACCCCAGGGAGTGGCTGAGCACACTGATTTTCTCCTGTTCCCATAGCCCTGTTTCAGTGACCGTGGCTGCCCTCAGCATCCTGCCAGAGTGGGAGCCAAGGGCTGCCACAACAGGGACCACGTTTCATGGAGGCTCTGTGCTTAGCCATTCTGGCAAATATTAAACATTGCTCCTTTTAGGTTGTGTGTGAGAGTTTTCTTCAACATTCCACACAGCCTCAATGTGTGCCCACCAATAGCTAACTGGGAGTAACTCTTCCTTTTCACTAGCTAAAACTCCCAAAACCCATAAAATCTGATTCCCATGAAATTTTCCACGGAACTCAACTCTGCTGAGATCTAACAGAAGCTGTTTACTGAGCAGCAGGTCACCACTGGCACAGGTAATGAGGTTACACTTCTATTTAGGGACCTAGATGTGGATTTAGAAACCCAGCTTCGGGCACATGAGTATGACAACACTACAGTCTTGCTCTGTAAAATGTTTAGACCACGTTTTGCTCCTTTGAGCATTCCATATTTTTAAAAAAATAAGCATAATTTTCCCCAGAATGAACACTAGTGGGAACCTCTGCCTTTTATGGTGTAACAGCACACTGCATCTTTGCAATACGGAATCTACTGGTGCTCTCATCACATTCTTCAGTGTAAATCCTGCTCTTTCACTGACCTCCTGGCCCAGACAGTTTCTGCAGTAATTCTGTGCCTCCCACCTATTCCAGTTTCAGCTCTCTTTTGCACAGAATTTTTTATTCAAATCAATACTACACTTTCAGAAACTATTAGAAAACATCCACGACAGTGCTGCACAACAAGCACACTACAAAACTTGTAAATTTTCTTTTTCTAAACAGAAGGCCACATATACAGGTTCACCTCTGCAATCCAAGAACCCAGGAAATGAAATACTTACACTCTCACTCTGGAAAGGGTTTAGGAAGTTTCCACCCATCTCACTGTCATCCCTGGGAGTGCCAGGCTGGTTGCTCATGCTCATATTACTGGGAGAGTTCTGTTAAAAAGAGTACAAAGTACAGGTTCAGTGCTGAAGGTTTTGGTTCATTTCCAGCCTCACCAGGTGAGCCCAGGGCATGCTCCACACAGAACCTGGTACACTGAGCTGCACTGTGCAGTGCACTGGGCCTCTCAAGGATGAAAAATCAGCCCCAGCAGGGTTCTGCATGATTCAGTGACTAATTTTAGTCTGTTAAATAATGTTCTCTTCCCTGAAGCAAGGATTATTTACCTGTGCCTCATTTTCAGGCTATAGCCAGCATCTGCTCCTGCTGAAGTCAAGAAAAGCTATAAAAGGGTGCAGCAGGGATACGAGGAAGTCCTGTCAGCACATTAAATCATGTGGTTGAATGCAGCCACATCTGTGAGCCCTGACATGTGTGAGTTATGGTTATGTACTTAAAGATAGACAAAGATGTACTTAAAGGCAGGATGGATCAGGTCTGCACAGACCTTTGCATGGGCCTGTGCCTGAGGGCTGCTCATCTTGGTCACAATTCACTGGAATAGTAACAGCCTAAAGCCTTCCAAAAATTAATTGTTACTCTTTTCCTTACAGAACTGCACAGCGACCTCTTCAACTTCAGAAGGAGAATGGGTGAAACAAGGTAATTGCCACAGGAATTACTGTGCATCAATAGCTCACACATGGTTATTGTACACACTGCCATTAGTCAGGTGCTCTCACAAAGCTGCTTTGCAGTACCCTGCCCAGCCTGGACCATGGGCAATCCTCTTTCCACCTGACACATCCCCTACTCAGAAAAAGATGGAAATGATGGAAAAAGAGTAGTCAGGGAAAAGGAGGAGTGAAACCATGAACCTCATAATGAAATCCTTGCATCTATGACAGCTTTTTCCTTGGCTTTTTTTTTTTAATTTCAGAAAAATGGAACGCAATAGAAATATAAATACCAAACTAATTACATACATGACATGCAAGCTCAGAGTTGGGTCAAAAGCCCTGCCTTAGCCCTTTTGCTTTCTTCAGTCTAATTTACTTCCACAGCTGTGATCCTCAGGACCACTGGACAACCAAAGCCTAATGAGGTTATTGACACCAGTTAATTAAGTCTGCTCTCCAGTGAGGCCAGCACACCAGACATTCAGGGACCCACAGCTCAGAGGAGGTTGCACCTCTTGCCTTGGCTCTGCCCTGCTGCTGTGCCTTCAGCAGCATTAATTCAGGGCAGCCCCAGCCTGTGTTACACAGAGGCCAGGCCACAAAAACACCTCACTGCCACTGGCCTCAACAGCCAGCAACACACAGACCTTGTCACACTTATTTCATATGATGCTCCCACACTCTTGCTCATTCCTGCGGGATTTTCTCCCTGTTTTATCTCTGAACTGAGCACACCAGCCCCAAAGGGCAAAACTCCTGAAAAAATGCCATTTTAGTGACTCCCCCAGGCTGCTTTTGTGGCCACTTGGAGTTCAGCACTATAGCTCCAACTGGGATTTTCCAAAGCAAGGGTGTCCCTGCTGCCTGCACAAATTCCATGGGCATTACAATAAATGCAGGTTAATAATGTTTATTTAACATAAACATTATGAATAATTTCAGTTCATTATGTGCCCTTGTCTGGACTTCATAAAATACTACATGTTCTGCCATTCAGCCAATTTAGTCAAAATCTCCTCTACAAAGCTATGAATTCTGTGAGCTGTACTGATTCTGCCAGGACTGGATCCCTTTTCTATGGACAGCTGTCTCACAGGCAAAATTAACAGCATTTTTCTTTTAATTATTCAAAAAACATATAGATCAAATGTTATTTCCATGAGTTTTTCATGCAGATTAACCCATTATGAGACTTCCAGGTAAATAGTTTAGGACCCAAGTATTCAGAGCTGCTGATACCTGTACCAGCACATACTGAACACCTAGAAAGTGGAATACAGGCTTTAAAAATTATCCCATGGGAATGCAAATGTTTTGGCTTTTTTTCCCTTTAAAAAATGGTGCAGTTTGCAGTAAAATAGAGCAGAAAAAACATGGACTTTGATTAAAAATGTGCTGTATGCTGGGCATCTCACAGGAGGGGTTTATCCTCGCTGTGCAGCCCAGCACAGCACAACTGAGGCAATGTGGTCATCAAGAGTCTGCAAATGTTATAAAATTTAAGAACACAGGGTCCTCTTTATTTATGCCCCTTTACCAACACCACATCAGTTTATTAATTCCTAAATTAATGATGATCACATCCATAGCAGTTTTATTTTACTGAATTAATGCATTCAAGTATTATTTTTGTAGATTTAAAATCTCTGCAGATTAAGCTCACATCCTTTTCCAGATATTTAATGCTTGTGGTATCAAAACAGTACTTCTTCTGAAACTACTTCTTAATCTAGTTTTTGGGAATTATATCCTGAGGATTAAGATATTAACATTCTTAGAGAGGTGACAAACCCAATCCTGCAACACCCTAAGAAGATTGTCCCAAATTTACATTTGACTAGAATTGATTATTAGAACTGTTTCCATTTATTTTAAGAGTATCAAAGACTACAACATGATCAAACAGATTATGAATTGGAGGTAATTATATAAAATATAGTTATAGTATAATAAAGGCACATAACAGAAGGTCTCATAACAGAGACAAAGGAAATGAGTTTAGAGTGAAAGACCCTAAAAATTCCAGATATTTGATCAGATACTTACTTTGGAAATACTGTCCATGTCTCCTGAGCCTAAATTAAAACAGACAATTGCTCAGTTAGTTTTGAGCTAAAGCTAATCCAATAATTTTTTTTTCATAGGAAATACAGTGCAACATCAACGTTTTAAAAAACAACCAACTTTGTAAAATTTTACAGTTGGTAGAGATCAATCCACTCAATCAGTCTGAGGCTCCACCAACTTTTGCTGCACTACATGTATTGAGTATCTCTTAGAAGAAAACAGATTATCCTGATGAGCAGAGGAATGGAAACCAAATAAAAGTAAATATAGTGAGTGCAAGACTACTGAAAACTGAGGGTGTTTTTCACATGCTGTAGCTCTCACCTCAGGAAAAGCAGAGAATGAAGGAAATGCAATTTTAGGATGGATGAACGAAGAAAAGCTTTTTTTTTTAGCAGCAAAAACCACGTATTTTCAAATTCTGGAAGAGTACTGTGTACAAAACTAGGAGAGTATCACAACAGAACAGTCAAAATGGAGAAGACTGAAATAGCTGTTTCATAGAGCCAGGCAAACTAGGGCTGAGAAGGAATATGATTTCTCTCTCCAAAGAAGTCAGATACATAGATGTTATCAGGAGTTACTTTGTCATGGCCCAAAAGGATAAATTATGTGCTAGGTACATATAAAATCCTTGCATAACTGCTGCAATTTACATTTTCATTTTAGCTGAGAGGGAAAAATTCTCAGCCTGTAGAAAGCCACAGGAAAAGGTGTGGCTGCTGCTCACACAGATTTTCTTTGACGTGAATGCAATATGCATCATTAGTAGATAAACCAACTATCCATTTTAGGATTGCAATAGGCAAAGAAAGGCTGTAAAAGTGTCCCTGTATAAAGTGATCTAACATCTCAGGGACATGTCTCCTAAAACAAAAATAGTAATTCTCTCTAGGAGATAGAGGCCTATGCTGAGTTGTTATTGTTCACAATGACACTGAGCTTCAATGACTTTCTTCTTCATTGCCTCTTCAAATCATTCCCTTCATCTTACTGATGTACACAGAACTTTTTCCATACACTTTAACAATCTGACTTCCACAGAACTCCATGAATTAGTCACAGAAAAGGCATTGCCACTGAGAAGTCACCATGCTGGCAGTATTTACTGTTACCTAATGATCCATTCATATGGTGTGAGTCCATTCCACCCAGTCCGCTCATGGGTCCATCTGAGCCTGGCCCCAGTGGAAACTACAAAAGGAGCAGGCATTAAAAATGGCACAGTTATTTATCACACAACCTATAAAGACAAAATAACCAATAAAGAAGAAATATTCCTCAGGAGAAGGGGAAAAAAAGTAAGGACAAATTCTCAGCTCTGAATGAGAAGAGACTCTTAAATCCCATTCACATCTTTAAGAGAAGATGTCTCGTGAAGACTGAAAACCAGCAATTTTTTTGGTCACTTTCACAATTTTTGGAGGTTCTCATCTCTGTAGGCTGTAATTCAACACAGTAATAATTTATTATTTACTTCAGTCTCTTTGTATGACTTTCCAGACTGCTGCTGGCAACTCAGCCCTATCCCCACTGAAGTTATAGGGAACTTCTATAACTCCCTTAAATTCATCAGCTTTCAAACCCCACCTCACCTATCCTAAGTTGGAAAGCTCCTCATCACCTTCACAACTTGAGAAGTTTCTGTCCAATTACATAATTAACCTTAAATTTAGCTCTCCACACACTTAAAAGATACTACTGTTATAGCCAAACAATCTGCAATTTACTGCTTAATGACTTAGCATATCTACATATATTTATTTTTAAGTTCCACTAGAGTTATTTTCCCCCAGAGGCCCATACCTGAAGAGTGGCCCATTAAAATGGAAAGCTTAGCAATAATGATAGCTGCTGGAAAGTCAGTGTTTGGATAAACAAAAGGCTGCAGTACTCAAAAAAAGGATGTAAGAAAACTCATATTTACATTAGGTCTGTTGGGCCCAGGTGGCACAGCATTCATTAAAGTGTACATGTTGTCTCCAGAGTTGGTTGAATCTGTAATAAGAGATTATTTTAAGTGCTAAAATACACTTTTCAATAAAATTACTCACCTCATACATTTCCTGTCATTTTGTTCATATTATTACTGTGCCTCAATCCCATACACAGTGGCAATATAATGGCAGATTTTATTCTCTTTCTATCCACTGCTGCCACACAACAGGGCTATGAAAAGAAATAATTGCCATAGCCCCCAAGTGAGTATTTCTGGGCTCTAGCTTTATGCATGACTGTTAAAAGGTTTATAAATCACCAAGAATCTGTAACTCTTTAATTCCTAAAACCCTGTTTCCTGGAGTTCTCAATTTCTTCACTCATCTTCAATATTATCCATAGAACAGGAGTTTGTTTCTTATCAGTACTTCCAGTAATTTGTTTTCTATCTGTAATAAATGATAAAACACTTCTCCTTACACAGACTGTTACAGTTTTTTACTCTCATCCCAGCCAAGTCCATATGATTTTGAATATATCTTCAGTGCAAAGATCCTTCACTCCTGGGGGAGGCTTTAGCTGATCTATCTTCATGGCACAGCCTGGTGCAATGTTTGCAGAAAAACCCCAAAATGATGAAAACTGAAAGGACAATGACCTGATAAAAGTCTGTATACATCCCTAATGGGGCAGTGTGATTAAAAAAACATATTGGCAACTCTGTAAAATCAGTATCTGCACAGAAAATAAGAGCTCAGCACTCTGCACCCAGACCCTCCACAAGCCCATTCCACACCCAATGCTCTTCTGTGTACAACAGAAAGATAAATCAAGGATTTTGTCTACTAATTAATGTTTCCAAGATGATTTTCTAAGCATTAATCCCTTACATAGCACTACTTATCACTAGAACATTCAAAGATGCTGTCTGTGGAAAAGGGGAAATAGAAAAGCCTTTAGCCTTAAGTAAAATCAGACTATTAAGTTATTTTTAATATTCAGTGAGGCAGGCAAAAAGTTCTTTGTCCACCAGAAACTTTTGCAGTACACGTCCCTGGCTGTCCCCAGCTTGTGGAAAAAAGCCTGCCTGCTATCCTGGCTCATGTCAGAACACACAGGCATTTTTTGAGGGGTTTTATTTGTTTTGGTTTTGATTTTTATTGTTATGTATTTAAATCCCTGGAATTGTATTCAATTAATACAATATACTGGTGCAGTAAGTTTTCAAGGCCAGATAGGAAACTTCCCTACCCTCCTGTACTGGAGAGGTTAGCAAGTAGGGGAAAAAAGGCCTGATACAGAAAATATAGACCAAATAATCTAGTTATGTGATTCTTTATTAAATTCCTGAAATCCCTTATAATTGTGTTATTTCCAAGTATATTTCAGTACCTGCAGGACTAGGCATGATGGGTGTTCCTGGTGGCCCTCCACCTCCTGGAGGACCCTGGGGAGAGTAAAAATAGTCAGGTAATATGAGTTAAAAGGTTAGAAACAACATAAAACAGACACACAAAAACCCCCCACTACAAGGAATGAATATTTTTTAAAGTTTTGGTTATTTCCAGGTAAAAAATTTTATCAAGACTAAGAAACACAAAATGCACAAAATGTTAAACAAGACTTAGGGTTCTTTAATATTTCTCCAGGAATTTTATTCAAATCACCCTCATCATTTACTAAGAACAGAAACATAACATCATGCTTCTTATGTTTGTTGAACCCCTTCTGTTAATATGAAAAACCACCAACTTCCACTTTGGTAAAAATGCCTTCCTCAATTAAAGTCAAGAAATATTGACTTTCCATAATAAAATATACATAGAGTGCTAGTATTAATTATTATTTTCACTGCCATATGGCTATTAGTGTACTTTATCTCTTTTGTTATCATTTAAAACAGCAGATATTCTGTTTCAGACAGGGATATAATTTCAGTGGCAGTGATTTAAAGGGTCTGGATGTTCTGTCTGCTTACAGGATAAATGTCCATATAATTTTTGCCTATAAACTTCTATTGGTAAATTTATATCCACATTTTATTCATATCCATATGACTCCCTAGGCATCACAGGCTCTCCATATACCTTTTAGCTACACACCTGTGTACTAAACTCAGTTACTTGATTTTTCTTAAGGGCTATTTCTGCACGTTTTTCAATGTTACATAAAGAGATGTAGGAACAACTAAGTGATCATTTATGAGAGAAGTTACTTGTCTTCATTATGTTTTGCATCTAATTTAAAGTTTGCTTTTACTCTCATTGTTTGTGTTTTTTCTTCTCTTAGAGAGTTTCTTGGTATCAACTATTTTCACTCAGAATATAATTTTATTTATTTATAAAAAGTATATATTTATATATTGATATGTATTATATATACTTATATATGAGTAGATAAGGTTTTATATTAGTATATATTAATATATTATTTATAAAAAGTATATATTTATATATTGATATGTATTATATGTACTTATATATGAGTAGATAAGGTTTTATATCAGTATATATTAATATATTATACATAGATTAATCTTACTAAGTTCTCAAAGTGAATAATTCCAGATTACGAATCTTTTCTCTAAAAAAAATTTTTAAGAGCTCTCCAGCCCATCCCTCATCCCCAAACATTTGCTCTCTATGAAGTCAAATATTCCCAAAATGTCTTTTAATTCTTCAACAACAGAACGTGGCAAAGCCACAAAACCTCCTCCAAACAATTCTGCATTAAAGAACTGATTTGGAGACAGCAAATATTAGCTGTTTCCACTAAGTTGTGACAAAATGAGGCCTATAGTTACAGACATTTGTAAGAATCATAACTTTTTACCCAGCTAATTGTCTAAATAAATTACAAAATAAATTGCTTTTAATTGTACAATTCTCCCTCATCACCCTGTGACACCAGCCCTGTGCACGTGATAAAAACAGAATAAGCAATCTGCCTTAGAAGAGCTCCTCAGCCATACAAATAACCTGAGTGCAGCAGCAACAATAAAGAGTCTGAAACAACAAACAAAGTTAATCTCTAGTGACAGAGACAAATCCAGCATTAACACTTTTTTCCTGCAGAAGCTCAGAAACTCTTACACAGCATGGTTTATCTGAGAAAGCCAAGGGGCTCCTTGTCCTTCATTATTTGGATAATAACGCACTGCACTGCACTGTATCAGGTACAGAAATGTTTTCTGAGGTGAAGCAGCACTGAGGGCAATTTGGAGCAGGCTGACAGCGATTCTGGCACTGAGCACCCACATCTGCAGCAGAGGGGAAGGGAACCTCAGTGCAGGACAGATGTTCAGCTCCCAGCCAGCACAGGGGGCTGCCCTCAACATCTCGGCTGCTGTTTCCCTGCCCACATGAGATGTGATGTCGACAAACACACACAAAGGCACTCACCACATAGTTCCCAGGAGAGGCTGAGGAATAAGGTATCTGTAACATCAACAGAAAAAACAGTGATTTTTTTTGGTCCCTCTGTGCTGGGATGGGCTCCTGCAGCTAAAGGTGAGAGCTCATTCAATTAGAGTAACTACAGACAGGGCTAAAATCATGGGGGAAAATTCTTCTGCTGTCAAAATAAACACCTCTTTTCAGCAATTTCAAAGTACTACTATAAAAATAATAAAGTATTAAAATGTTAAGGTATAAGATTACTAAGGCAATTTAGTTTATAAGGTTTATGGACTCAGGCAGCACATACTTGCATTTCAGTCAGCGGGACATCGGAGTCAGCCAAGCATGAACTGAATTTGTGTGTTCTTAGAAATACCTAATTTTGAATACAATCTTCACCATAAAAGGAACAGAAACTACCACATCTTTCACCTTAGAAGATACTGGAATTTACTTCTATTTTTATGTTTTTCTTAAGGACAGTGTCCTGGAGAAATCCTGTGAATAATCTGGTTTCCTTTTCTTGCTGCCTTTGCTGTTATTCTCTCCAAAGGGACACAGGCCAGTGCTGCTGTGGGAGCAGCAACTGTACTGTACTACACTGACAAACACAAATTTCTCTACAGACAACCTGTCAGCCAAATTACTGTTACAAATAAATCCACTATTGGACTCGCCAACTGATTTCAGAGGCTGAAAAAACTTTAACTATCAGCTAAAAAATATAAATTTTAATGGAGTACACGCAAAAGAAAATTGAAGCTTTCACTAATAGAATTAAAAACGCAAAAGTGAGAAAACCAGGAAGATCTGTTTAGCAGAGCAAGCCAGACCCACCTTATCCATCTACACGTGCCAAAAATTGACAATTTTTAAAGTGATGATACATGATCCCTGAACGAAAATGAAGATTTTCTGCATTCTGGACAAGTATCAGACATTGCTGTACATGTAGGATCCCAGGACAACCATTATGTTACAGCATTGCTGGGTCTGGCATGAAGGTATTTCCCTAAATACAACAGATATCAAATATATTTCTAGTATTTACTTACAGAATTGGCATTGGTTGGGTTTGGCCAAGGTCTACCACCCCCAGGACCCCTGAAACAGAAGAAGAATGATGAGACACAGAACCATCCCCATCCTCTGACCAGCTCTGAGGAAAAAAATCTGAATAACCTGTTTCTGGAGGAAGGAAATGGCTTTTTTCAAACTAAAGTGTGTTTACAAAGCATAACTACACTAAGCTAAAATGCAAGAGCAGAATTTTTGTTGTTGCACTGCTATTCGATCATTTGGTGAGTTGATTAATTTATTTACTACTCAGAAAATAAATTTAAGTCATAAAATAAATAAATGCTCAGCCATAAAACCAGTGATCTTGCTCACATAATTAAGCACATGCCTGAAGTACTGATGATGCATTCATTTACTGGGGATCTAGAATACTGCAGTACAGTCAGGTTTCATTAGCAAAACTTGTGCAGTTAGCTAATAAATGTTTTGGGAACACCTATTTACGGAAGAACAAGCCATACAAAACACGTTGCTATGATCCCTGTATGGTGATGAGGATGATGATGATGACTGTGATGTTAACAACAACGGCTGTGATAGTAAATTTCATCCATTACACCCAGAAAACCCTCAGAGGGTTTTTCTCACAACTTTAGCTGTTATTTTAAGTTTCTCACTCTCAGCTAAACCCAGAAAAGTATTTTGGGTGCGAGGCTCCATCTCTTAACAATCCAGAGGGGATTCAGACACAGCAGAGGTAAAATGTCCATGTTCACAGACACAGAGTTGAAATCAGTCCCAAACACATAATTATTTCTGGGAGTTCCAAGAGCTCCTGCTTGTTTACAAACAAGATTTAATAACTTTTTGAAGGCCCTGACAACAGAGAAGCAGAGCAGATGACAATACTTTCACATTTTCAATGGCCTTTTGGCCTCATTAGCTGTAGAAAAGCAACATTAACAACTGCAGCTCACCAGGCATGGGAGAGAGACTGAAACAGAGAGAAAAAATCACCCTTTATTAATGAGTTCTGAAAGTTTTCTAAATCTTGCAGAAATAAAAACTATTAAGAGCATACATTGCCTGAGGGATTTAATATTGTATCTTATTTTTTTATTACATTGTTGATGAAACAATAAAGGAACAATCTCAAAAAAAAATTAACAGAAAATGTATTTATTTCCACTGCCTTTATTGTTGGAATGCTGGAAATCAAGAATGTTGGTATGGTCTTTTCTGCTTCATTCAATGAAAGACCGAGCAGGGAAATGCTCCTCAGGTCAAATATTCAGCAATTTCTCCTCTGCTGATAATCACATAGTGAAATATTAACTGGGTTTTTTTTTTTTTTTCCCTTGCTGTTCTTTTTCTTATTTTTCATTGGTTTATTGAATCATTTCTTTCAGAAAAATCAGGAATATTTGTAAGAACACTTAAAAGTCTGTTTTTACCCCAAACCCTCACACTCATTTCTGTGACATGTACTGACTCAGAAACACAACTGGGTTAAGCCACAGGAGTGTGGAAACTCAGAAATTACACACTGAGACATGGGAACTCACCTTTCATCTAAAAAGTTGTTGGAATTTTCAGATTTATTGGACAGCTTTCAGTATAGACTTAAAAATCACTGAAGCAGATTCTGCTGGAAAGCCACATGGATTTTGTGGAGCCAAATGCTTATAAAACACACATAAAACCCACCAGACTGCAATTTTAATTTTTTTTTTTTTAAATTCCATGCAAGCAGGTCTTTTGTCTTTTACTAAATGTTTATTTTGGAAGCACCAAAAACGTCATAAAACATAATCATATAAGTACCAATTCCAAAACACTTCCCAAAGGCTCTGTTGCTATGACCAATTTTTTTTTTTTTTCTGCAATTTTTAAAAGAGTTTGTCCTGTAAGTGTCAATCCTGGCTTGAAAAAATGTAAGTCTGAAATTCCAGTTTCCCAAGAGGCAAATATATTCCATCAGGAAATGAAACATCTAGACTCGAGTTTGTGAATTGAAGTTAAAAGACAAAATCACACCTTTTTCTTTCTTTTTTTTTTTTATTCTGAGGCATGACTGAGATATTCTTAGTGCTGGAGACAGCACTGCAGGTCACACAGTGAAAAATCACCAGTGAAATGTAACACTGCTCCCTGAAATCTGCCTTTTTCTTCCAAAAACTGGCAGAGACATTAAATCTTCCTAAAAATGACTATGCCAAGTTCCAACTGAAAAAACTTACAGCCTAAAATGAAGTTATTCTGTGGAAGAACCTGGGCTGGGCATCAGCTGTGTCCAACAGAAATCTGATGGTGTTACTGATGACAAAGCAAGGAATTACCTTGTGCTGCATTTGTGGATTGTACGGACTGAAATGATGCCTTATGAGCCCTCAGGCTGCCATTTCTGACCACCAGGAACACTTTCTCACCCAGAAAAACTGTAACATTTTATTTGGCAGATAGTCTGTTCTTAACCAAAGCAGCTTCCCTTTGCATTCCAAGGAGGAAAAGCTGGATTTTAAACGGCAGCTGTTTCTGTGGAGCACTCATTTTTGCACTCGAGACTGCCAAAAACCCAAGAAAACGAAGAACAGAGCGGTGGGAAATTGTCATGTAAAGAAAACACTCAGGTGTGAAGGGACATCCCTGTGCACAGCTGAAATGTGATTTCCCAGCTGGGTAAGGGGAGTACATTTGGGTTCATCCTCTGCCACTGTCCCCAGGCCAGCCCTGAGCTGAGGCATCACTACAATTTCAGGAACAGCAGTAAATTTACAGTCGGGAAACACTCTCATGTCCTGAAAATGCAATCCAAAGAATCCTGACTCACAGCAACCCTTTGATAAAATGTGTTTATAAAAAGCAGCAATAGAAGTACTTCAATCCTTCTTCTCCCTTTCTGGTAGGCCGGGAAATCTTTTTGTCATACAGAACACTGTGTAAACTCTCATTTATATTTATAAATCGTTTCAAAATATCTTATCTATCCCTCAATTAACTTCTGGAAAGGTAATTTCCTTTTTTTATGCAGTCCTATGCTGAGGAAAACCTCTACGGGGCCTATACTTGACTCACACTGAATTTCAAATGTCTAAATATTTTTTCCACGTCCATTTAATTGAAAAACATAAATACCTACCCTCAGGAAGGCTCCTAGAATTGTCTTAAATCCCCATATGTGATGTATATGATACAGCAACACACAACTTCTGATTTTAATTTATTGGTTTAAAGATTTCAATGCGTGTCCGGAAATCCAAACCAATTAGAGACATGGTGGATATTTAAAAATTACATTATATACTTCTCTACCTCTCTGACTTCTTCAGAGGTAACTTTTTACTTGAAATGAAAACTATGATTTCTTAATTACATTTTCTATAAAAACTAGAGTAAAAATTGGTATCTGTGATAATGAGAAAAGCATATAGAAACCTTTACTGCTTTCTCAGTGTTACATTGGAAGTATTTCTACACATTTAAAAGGGAGGCTGTCTTCAGGGATACAAGGTGCAACACCCTGCCATGGCTAAATTCATGTTTAGAATAAATATGAACTCAGATTATATCCATTTTTACCAGATGATTTTTCAGACCCAGAGATGCACAGAAAAACTGACAGAAATACACTCACATCTGTAAAGATCCTCTATCTGTTTAGACTGGAAATAAATGCATTTAAGGAAATAAGAACTGCAGCTGAGGAAGACTTTCAAATCAATCATGTTTTTCTCTCTCTTATAAGTAGTTCTAGACAAAGGGTACTTTGCTACAATTAAGTAGTGATTTATTTTGCAGAGAAAAAACATTCCTCACAAGATATTTAGTAAGTAGAAATATATATAATATAATTTTAAAAAATGCATACAAGTATATATCAGTGATTATATCGACAAAATATTCTCAGTATTTGAAGTTTTATCTGTGAAAAAAACTGAGAATTTGCACAGCCTTGTTAGGACAGCCAAGGCTCCTGTAAGACTGTGGGTTCACTTCTTAAAATTGGATTTACTGGTCATCAAAGCACGCTCTCCTTGCCTTGTCTATCCCAATGCAATAATGGCATTCTCTAGGTACAGGAGGATTTGTGTTGTGCTTACATGTTCATCCCAGGCATCCCCGGCCCACCTAAAGCGTTCAGAGGGGGTCTCATGGCACCTCCATAGTTCTGCAACGACAACCAAGGGTCAGACTACCACAAAACAAAAAAACAAAACCAAAGAGGAGGGGGAAAGAGAGGACAGCAGGTTAATGACATCCCTGTGCAACTGCTGCCAGGACAGGCCATGCCAGTCATGCTTTCAGGATTTCCTGACTGGTGACTAAAAATCGGGATCATTAACCCCAAAGAGAAACAATACAAGCAACAGAAATTGGCTAAGAATGGTTAACTTGGTTTCAGGGGAATTATACTTTTTACAAATACTGGGCTCAGCTTAATGGCCAGAAAAGGTCAGGTTTTATAATGAATTCAACTTCTAAACCAAGGCAATTCAAAATCAGAGCCCCCTACTAAGATTCTGAGATATCAGATGGCATTATTTCTACCTAGGTTTCATTATGTTTCTATAAAATTAAACCACATGATATAACTTTTCTAATGTACCATTACATTTCTCTATCCATAATTCAATTCTAATAAATCACAGAATCCCAGGATTGGACCTTGAAGCCCATCCAGTGTCAACCCTGGCCTGGGCAGGGACACTTTCCACTACCCCAGGTCTGTGATAATCAAAATGAGGAGTATTCAATATGGTAAATAATGTCCTAGCAATGCTGACAAATTAAATTCCCAACACCCATAAAATCTGAGTTTATATCCTGATATAATGATCAAAGTTTGACTGCACTACTTACACAAAAATATAAATTATACCTATTTTTGTTCAGTGGAATAGAAGCAGAACAATCTGTCTCACCTGACAATCTCTCACCTGTAATTACTGCTAATCCTAAACAGATTTACTCCTTTGCCCTAAATAACAGCACTGCCACTAGGGCCACCCCACAGGTGTCCTTTCAGATCAGTGATGCTCTCTGCAGAGCCCAGTTATTTGGTGATCCAATTATGGAGTCATTTCTGAACTTAAATTTTATAGAATTAAATTTTGTGTAGGTTAGGATGTTGAGCACAAGAAAGAAGAAGCTTACAAAAACACTGAAAAAATGGAAAAAAATTATCCTCATAAAAAGTGGCATGAGATTTGCCTGCTGTGTGACTAATGGTGCTGCATAAAGGATCAGCTCAATCTCACATGGCAGCACAGCAGAGCTTCTATTTTACTTCCAATACTTTTCAGGGACACATAAAAAAACAGCAAAAATATTTTATTTTATATTTATATATGTTTTGCTGGCCACTCAGTAGAGGTTGTGAAGTACTGCATGTATGGTTTATAGCAAGAAGACCCAACACTGTACAGACAGTTGTGAGCACACTTGGACGACAAAGCTATTCAATAATTTAGAATTTAGTTGTTATTCAAACAAGAAGACATCAGGGAGATTATCTGAAATGGGGAAGCAAAAATGCACAGTGTGGGCACAACAAGCACACTGTGAAACAAAACACTGGCAGCACCAGTGAGGAACACCACCACCCACGTGCTGCTCACTGGAGTGCTGACAAAACACGGAGGAGCCTCTTGGATTTGTGTTCCAGGATGCATCAGGACATAAAGTTTGTCCCCTGCCTTGTCCCTCTGGGACAGAGCCACAGAGACGCTCGAGGTGGACATGGGGACAAATGGTAGCCTGGACATCTCACTTCACACTAAAATCTCTGCTGCACGTGCCAAAATGTAGATCAACAGTGGATGACAGAAAAACTTTACAGAATTTGGAGAGGTATTTTTGTCAAAGTTAGAGAATATTAATCTTTTCCTCCTAAACAGCATAATCAGTGAGGAGGAGGAGGAAACACCCACTCCAGTCCTGGTTGCCCTTGCCAGTATCAGTCTTTGATTACAACACACATTTTTCTAAAAAATGCAAGTGAAGGGATTCTTCTTTTAATTCCAAATATTAATGAAAATGACAGATTTTTCATTTTGATTTTGTACAGCTGCAACTTAGAACAGATGCTTTTTTTGTAAAACAGGAGGTTTGTTTTAAAAAGAGATTATGGAAACAAGTCCTGGGCTTCTTCATGCTATGCAAAGACAGAGAATACAGACTAAATAAAGGCCTGTCATTAAGGATAACCCATCTGTAGAAAATACCTGTGGTCCTAATGGCACCATTCCCCTTGGAGGAGTCATCCTCTGCATTGGCCCACCCATGTTTGGATGACCTGCAAGCAAAATATAAAATACATTATATTTATATATGCAATGCACAACGTATTTAATTATGCAAGACACAATCACCTTCCACAGCTACTTTTAATGAACCATCTCTTTCTCATTAACAGAAAAGCCTAAGGAACTGCAGGAAGAAAGGTGCAGTTTGTGAGGACAGCACTGCGGAGAGGTCCCACACTCACCCTGTTGCCGTGTGGGGTCCATCCCGCTGGGCAGGAGGGGCTGACTCCCCGGGACACCTCCGAGGGCCTGAGGCAGGGAAAACACAGCATGAAACCACAGAATGCCTTGAAATTCATGTTAGAGACACAACACACACGTTTCATTCCTAATTCCTGGATGTTTCCTCTGAGTCAAGAGTTAACATGCTTTTAAATTCCCACATTAATCTGCCCTCTGGGTTTACTGAATTAGGTTTAAAGCTCATTTTTACAGGATTTTACCTGCAGCTGGGTCAACTAGAAAAACACTTTTATGAATGGATCTTTGTAGCTGATCCATGAGGTGCTATTTAGCATTTCAAAGCACCATCATATTTTCAGTAAAAATGTATCCTGAGTGAGCAGAATCTCAGAGTGGTTTGGGTTGGAAGGGACCTGAAGGCTCATCTCCTTCCTGCCCCTCTGTCCTGGGCAGGCACCCCTTCCACAATCCCAGGTCCAAACTACCACCTAATCAAAATTTGGGTCTTAAAGCAGCACCACAACAGTTTATTGCTTCCACACCCTGCCCAGCCATGCTGTACCTTGAGCAATGTCAGTGCTGCTAAAGAAGCAATTTGTGAATTTGCCAAACTGTGAATGTAGCAAGAGCTGCAGTTCGCTGGGATTATGTGATTATCTTCAATTCTGGACTGAAAATACCACAGTGTGAAGACCAAATCCTTCTGAAACCAAACCTGCAGGCTGGCAGTGCTTCCAGCCAGCACATCCCACCTGCCAGTGTTCGCTGAGCTCAGGCACAGAGGGTGTGAAACCCAAACCCTTGGCTCGGGGGCTCAGACACCTCTGGCTAAGATACTATTGGGAAGTGCAAAAATCAGGAATGCACTGAGTTACAGCAGAAAAATGTTACCAAATATTAAGTGCGCTCCACTAATGACACTGTACAGATGATCACTTCATCAAGGCTAATTAAGTCCCCCAGTGCCCTGGTACAGGTGACTTCACCTGTTCCCAAACATCACCAAGTAGAGCAACACCTGGAGAAATCTTGCCACCTGATACATCCAACTCACTGAAACGTAGATTTGATAACTTCTGGTGATAGCGTGTCAAAAGTAATGACAAATTTGTGGAAACTGTGTTACACAAATATAAAAAATGGCCAGAAATGAGGCTGAGGTATAGTGTGACAATCGAAAGGCAGTCCTGGAAACCAAAGTTGAACCAAACTACCTGTTCCATTTATCCTTTCTACCTTTTCCAATATTGCAAATGACCTAGTTTCCATCTCAGAGCTCCACTGACGGTTTTCTGTTTGCTTGTCTTTAACTTTTCATCTGCTGACACTCTTTCTCCTCCTCTATCTGCACTATGGAGAACTTGAAAACACAAATGTTCTCTACTTCCAGAACCCTCTTCTCACAAAAAAGGTCCCTGCTGACGAACAGCAGCTCATTACTCATCCTTGTCTTGCTGGCATTGCACATCCTTAGATGGAGACGAGAGAAAACTGGAAATTCAGTGTTTTACAAAGTCCTGAGAGTGTCTGGAGGAGCCACAGAGCATTTCATGAGACCTCATCAATTTGTTTCTCATCAATAATCCCCGTATTTATGGTGGAATAAATATAATTTGTGTGTCCAGCAGAGATGGGCAGGGAGTGAAGCATTTGACACAGAAGTGAGTACCACAGGGACAGAACCCTCAGCCTTACCTGGTTGGGTATTCTGAGAGGTGGCCTTGGGCCTCCAGGGTACCGGGGGGACATGAAAGGCTGCAGGGAGAAAAAGAAACACTGCTGAATAACCCCCTCATCCTGTAAAGGCCACCCTGAACACACCCAGCCAGCCTGAACACTCCTACGGAGAGCTCCAGACATTGCTCCACAATGTTTAGCAGTATTACATAAATTCAGAAATTCTCAGCTAACCCATCTATCAGGATAAATTATTTAACAGCTTGTTTCAGAACTTTTACGTGCAGAATATCAAAAATTTAAAGCATTAATTGTGAAGAATAAACCATAATTAGACATCTCTACTTTCCACTGGAGAAGGGGGAAAGATGGAACCTTGGAATAGCAATACAAAAATGTTCTTGGGAGAGTTCAGAGGTAAGGAAGATCAAAATAATTCACAAATATTTTAAATTCATTTCTTCATGGTACAGTGAAAAGCAACACAAAATTTAACCTTTGGGGGCACAGATTCCTAGTTCATGATGCAAATATTTAGAATTTTGCTGGTTTCAGTCACCATGTCAATTCAGTGCTGCACTCTTGCCATCCTCCCTGCTCACACACTGGATCTCTCTCTCGATTACACTTATACCGATTTGGGCATAAATTGAGCTCAATTTATACCCAAATCTGCCACACCACCCACACCTTGTGAGTTTCTGGTGGCTCTTGGCTACCCCTGAGCTGCCTCACAGCCCACAAACAGGGTCAGGCCCCCAGGTAATCGAGTGGCACTGGCAGCAAGAACATTTAACTTCTCAGCTCATTCCACCCCAAAGTGTGGCAATAGCCTAGAAATCTAAAAAGATGAGTGGCAAATCTACAGGAAAAAGGCATAAATATTTGACTAAACAGAAGATGAAGAGGATGGCTTTGGCAAGCAGGAGTACCTACAGCTCCAGAAAAAAACTAAGAGATAAAAGTATGCTGTGTCTGAGCACAGGGACAAAAATACTGATTTAGACTAGCAATTGATAGCAGAGAAACTGCAATTATTTTACCAATAATTACTACTGGAATTTTTCCTATGATCTTACATCAATAAATTAATGAAACCTTTCACATCCTGGAATCAGATGAAAGGTGAAATAATGTAACCTACATAAACATGCACTCAAAGTAGTGCTAGAAAGCAATTTAAAGTACAGAGGGTTTACAAACTGGAGAAGAAAGTTCAATAACAATTGTGAATAGATTAATAAAAAGATACTTGAAATGATGTGCTGTAGAAGAGGGAGGCTCCTTTGTGCATTCTCTGCTGGTGAGAAGCTCTGATAAGAAAGAGAAAGAGCTGTGCATGCAACGAGGCCCTTGTGAAACAGTAGAAGTGTCAGGAAATTAGAATTTCAACTACTTCCACAGAGGTCAACCCAGTGCAGCCACTCCAGTGAGAACCCTGGGTTTGACTTGTCTCCTCCAGCAAATTAAACTCAACTTTATTTACAGCTGTGCAGCTCAAAAAAAGGGAAACCTGAACTGTCTCTGAATTCAGCCATGTTTAAAGAGCAGAACCAGCCGACTGATATGCAACAGCAATAAAAAAAAATAGTAATAAAAAACTACTCCTTCCAAGCTTCCAAGGATTATATACTGTAAATATTCATGTATCTGTATTCCTCTTACACACAGGTGGAGCTGCAATCAGTGATAAGCAGATTTCAAGTAGTTCTTATGGTTTGGCTTACCACAAAAGTGTTACCATTACAAACTCAAATATTCTAATTTTTGTGTCAGTGACTGAACTTCTCCCTCTCCACTACCAATATATTGTATATATCATATTGTGTATTGTATATATTGTTTGTCCACAGAAAGGTTCTACTAAGAGGTTTCAAGACAACAAAGAAATTCAGTCCAACATTTTAATGAAAATTTATTGAATACTCTCAGCTTTTCATGGCAGCGGGAGTAGTTTTGAAGTCCCCACACACATTATTGAGCACAGGATTCTGAAAGACAAACTCAAGCAGCAGAAACTTTGTGCCATGTGTTTATTCACCACTTCCCTTGTCATTTCCAGAACACCTGGCATTTAGTCTCTGAACTGGTTTTACTTCACTTTCCTACTCTTTAATTAGGAGTTGCTGGAATGTCCATTAGGGAGAAACCACTCTGGGCTTCCATTTCTTACAGCAGGCATCCCTCTCTCCCTGACTTCTTGGAACTTCTTCTCCTTCTCCTGCAGCACAAACACCCCTGAACTTACCCAGCTCAGAATACTGGGACTAAACCAAAACCAGTGCCCACAGGCCTTGATCTGGTTACTCAGATCGTGTTTCTGAAGGTGAAAATTAAATGTTTGCATGCTGAAGACTTGCACATTTCTGCCTATTGCCTCAGCCTAAAATTCAGCATTTTAAATGCACCTTAAATGGATGCTCACACGGAATTTTCAGGAAGACAGACTCTTTATTTGTCTTGGAGTTAAGCTTGAAAAATACTCAATAATGCAGCAGGCAATTTCAGTGTGGAGTAGGAAGAAGACAAGAGAGACTAAAATCAACTTCTCCAATGGAGTTCAAGAACTTGTAGACATCATAAGGTATTAGGAAAAGCAGAAGAAAACACTGCAAAAGCAAGCAAGCAAACAAACAAACAATAGCAATAAACAAAACCAAACCCCCAAAAGACAAACAACTTTCTCAAAAAATGAACAAACCCTCCAAAAACCCAAATAAAAACTCTCAACCAAACAAAAAACCCCAGCGAAACCCAAGCAATGAAACAAACAACACAAAACAAAACAAAAAAACCAAACCAGAGGACATATAAAGGACCAATCCAATTTAAAAAAAAACTTACACAAACAAAACCAAACCTTCTCCAAAATCCCTCAAAACTAAAACTAAAAAAAAAAAAAAAGATAAAAACAAAGAAGCAACCACAAAAACAAAGGGGAAAACCCTAAAACCCTCAAACTCAAAACAAATCCCAACCAAACCCATATAACCAACCAACCAAAAAAAAAAAAAAAAAAAAAAAAAAAAAAAAAAAAAAAAAAAAAAAAAAAAAAAAAAAACCACCAAAAATGAATAAAACAAAGAAACAGGAAAGCAAGCCAGATCTAAGCCAATGCTGAGATGGTCCACCAACATCTCTTGGCAGCAATATATCGTAATTCCTACCCACAGGTATGAAATTCATTAATTTGGCACCACAAAAAGTTTCCTGAAGGCTGCCAATCCTGCAGCTGAGAGCAAATTAAGAAGAATCTTCTACTAAACTGGGTGAAAAAAAAAGCCAGAAAAGAAAAAAAATTTCATGTAGTCATCACAGAGTATTTGCGTCTACCAACTTACAGTGAAGGTTAAAAAAAAAACAAACCCAAATACCTAAAAGGAGGAAAGTATTCGAATATTAGAATAATAAAGATGACACAAAATAAAATCAAGATGTGAAATGTTAAATGTAATAAGCTTCCTGCTGTGACAGCAACATTTCATGCTGAACTGCTAAAAGTACTTTAAAGAAAGGCAAGTTCAGGAACTTGAATGATGGTGCCAGAAGTTGTAGCACTTTTTTGTTATCTCTCTGCTCAAGAATAACCAATCTGTGTATAGGGACAGAGAAGGGTTATCTCATAACCTGTGTGTTTAATGCAGGTCTGAGAGGTGCAACATCAAAATCTTCTAAAATCCTATTTCATTTAGTTCCCAACACAACAGAAAATAAGTTTCTCAGTGAAAAGCGTTTGAGAAAGCAGTGTTGAAGCACAATGGCCTCACTACCCACATTTTGGTGCCAGAAAACGTGATTTTACAGAAAGTACCCAGCAGAAAGCTGATGCCATAAAGGCACAGAGGCTGGGATGTCTCTCTGCCAGTCATGCAGTTCTTACTCTCTTTTTTAATTGTTCAGGAGACTCTAAAACATGATGTGGATCAGTTTTCACTTCCACCTAATAGTGGTGAAATAAGGAATTCAGGGAGTACTGCTCTACTAAGCATTACATACTTCAATAAATCTCTTGTTTCCTTAAACTTACTTCCCTTCCAAAAGCTGGGAGTGTAATTTATTTCCTTCCAGATACAGGTTTCTTGCACTGACATTTTTATCCTGCTTTGCCTTACACCTTTACATTTATCAATCACATTTTGTCTCAGATAAATTTGTAAAATTTACAGTAATCCACAGCCCAGAATATTTAAATATTTGAATATTTAAATTCCTATTGAGACTTAATTGACCGTAAATATATTGACCACCAATTAAAAATCACATGGTGAGACACGGCTTCACACTTGGTGTGGAGAAGGACTGAAATGGCAATAATTGATTTTTATAACTCAGCCACCTACAGCACAAACATAAACACCACTTATCCTAGCAACTGAAAATGGAACCACAGACCTTATCCGTACACACTACAAGTGATCTTAAATTAATTGTGCTGCTACTTGAGGTGCAAGTACTGGAAAACAGTTCAAGCTGCAAGAGACAAGGCCGCATTCCCTCCGGTAATTCTGAAAATGACCCAATCTTTCCATCTATCCATTTAAAAGTTTTAAATGACCACAAGTGAAACAAACTAAAAATATTTGCTCTCCTCTATGCTTAAAAATCAGTTGTCAAGTTATACATTCTGTGTAAAATACAATTCATCTTCACCTTTTTGGTTTGCAAACTCTGCTAAAAGGTTTGGCATCACTTACTGTTATGATTATTAGCATGAGTATCAAAATGATAAAAATTAAGACTGCTGGCCATTTTTATTTCATTTTCCTACAAGGGTAAATAATATGTTAACATATCTCTTTAAGACTCCAGTGTTTTAGGAAATGCTCTAGACGTGTTTTACACCTACATCTGCCACTCCCAAACCAAAGGGGGTTTGCCCTCCTAGGAGGACCATTAGGAACCATTAAATATGTGTGAATTTAATTTACCCAAGTCATCCTGCAATTCATTTTTCATTTCATTGCCTTTTATTTTTTAGTTTCCTCTGTGATTTTTTTTTGGCATCTCCCTCAGCAGTAGCAATCACCCAAGTTTCAGGACACTGTTCATCAACACATTTCAGTTTTAACCAGGCCTAA